GTCGGGCAGCAGATGACGCGCAGGAGCGATTTCCCAATGCAGAATTGGTGTTTTTGGGGGACTTTAATGCTCACCACAATTTGTGGTTAAGTTCTTCCAAAACTGACCATGCAGGGATCTCTGCTCACACATTCGCTCTCACGCATGACTTGAAGCAACTGGTTGATCAGCCCACCAGGATCCCAGATATTCCAAGTCAAGCGCCTTCTTTACTGGACCTTCTGCTCACGACCCATCCACAGGGCTATCAGGTTGTGGTAAGAGCCCCCCTGGGCTCGTCCGACCACTGCCTGATATCCGCCAAAGCACCACAGGCCAAGCCTCCGCGTCCAGCAGTGGTCAAGCGCCGAATCTGGCATTATGGGTCGGCAGATTGGGACGGTATGCGTGATTACTTTGCGTCCGTCCCTTGGAAGCAGCGCTGCTTCAGTGACAGGGACCTATCGGGCAGTGCCGTTGCCATTACTGAGGAGATCATAATGGGTATGGAATACTATATTCCTCATTCTGATCTCATCAGTAAGGGCACACGTAACCTCTGGTTCAATCACGACTGTGCTGAAGCTGCTTCGCGTAAGCAAGCGGCATATCGTGCTTGGATCAGAGGCCGCGCTCTCAAGGATCCCGGGGTCGATTCACTCAAAGCAGCCTACAATTCTGCTTCCAAGGCCTGTAAGAAGGCTTACATCAGAGCGGATGCCCAGCGTGTTGCACGTGTTGGCCAGGAACTTATAATGCATCCTGCGGGCTCCCGTAGCTACTGGCGTTTGGCTAAGGCCGTGCAAAAAAACTTCTGCCAGCCCTCGCTGCCACCTCTGAGATGCCCAGACGGAACACTAGCTCATAAGCCGCAGGAGAAAGCCGATTTACTGGCAAAACTCTTTGTGGCTAACTCCCAAATCGATGATTGCAATGCACTGCCACCATCATTACCTCACTGTGGCACAACGATGCCTGATATTAAAATCAGGCAGCGTGAGGTTCGTGCCGAGTTGCAATCACTCGACGTCCGGAAAGCTAGTGGACCTGATGGCATCCCAGCAGTAGTACTTAAAAAATGTGCAGCGGAGTTGTGTCCCGTGCTCACGCGCTTGTACCAATGCTCATATTCTTTGGGGCGTGTGCCGGAGACTTGGAGAGATGCTAACGTGCAACCGGTACCCAAAAAAGGGGATCGCTCGGACCCGGCAAACTATCGGCCAATAGCAGTCACCTCAGTTTTATGTAAAGTTCTAGAAAAGGTCCTTAATAACCATCTGACCCGCTACCTAGAGGATCACTCCCTGATTAATGATCGTCAATATGGATTTAGACCGAAACGATCGACGGGTGATCTTCTAGCGTACTTAACTCATATCTGGGGTGAGGCTATCGACAAGCGTGGCGAGTCGTTGGCTATCAGCCTTGACATTGCCAAGGCGTTCGACAGGGTCTGGCACAAAAGCCTTCTCTCCAAGCTTCCGGCATACGGTCTGCCAGCCCAGTTCTGTTCTTGGGTAGCTGACTTCCTGCATGAGCGTAGAATTCGTGTCCTTACGGATGGTAGCAGTTCGCGGTTCATGTTAGTGAATGCCGGCGTTCCCCAGGGCTCCGTCCTATCCCCCACTCTCTTTCTGCTACATATCAATGACCTGATTCCTCTTGGGAATATTCATTGCTATGCAGACGATAGTACAGTGCATGCGGGGTATCTCGGACAAGCAGCGGCTGGGCATGCAGTAACCAGGGAGAAACGGGAAAATCTTGTCATTGAACTCAATCAGGCTTTGGAACACATTTCCGAATGGGGTACCAGGAACTTGGTTGGGTTCAATGCCAAGAAAACTCAGGCTTGCGCTTTCACGGCAAAAACATCGCCATTCCTTCCCCTTCCATCTCTTCAGGGCACAACACTACCGCTGCAGAGCAACATTTCCATGCTCGGTATGGAAGTTCGCTCAGACCTGAATCCAAAGGACTACATCGAAACCGTGATCAAAACAGCTTCACGCAAACTCGGAGTCCTGAACAAGGTGCGGCGTTTTTTCACGCCCGATCAACTGTGCTTGTTGTACAAAACGCAAGTGCGGTCCTGCGTGGAATATTGTTCGCACCTCTGGGATGGCTCCGCCAAGTACTTGCTCGATGCTTTGGATAGGTTACAGCGGCGCGCGATCCGCATCATAGGCGATGAGGAGGTGACTAAACACCTTGAGCCTCTTCAATTACGCCGTGACGTGGCGTCACTAAGCGCGTTCTATCGTTTGTACCACGGCGAGTGTTCTGAGGAGTTATTCTCTCTTATCCCACCTTCCCCTTTCCTTCAGAGGACCACGCGCGCTGGCCTACGTTGTCACCGTTTTACTGTGGCCACAATTCCAACGCGTACAAAGAAATTTGGTGACTCATTTCTTTGTCGCACTATCCGTAAATGGAATGCTCTGCCCGCTCACGTGTTCCCTCCCTCTTACAACCTGGGATCCTTTAAAAGAGGCGTGAAGAAGCAGCATGCAGGCCGGCAGGGTGAGGATGGCTGGTGTGGCAGGTAGAACTGCTGTATCAGCTATCTTCGCGTCTGGACTTCACCTTCACTTAACATCAGGTGGGGTGGAGTCATTTGTCGGACGTAACTATAAAAAAAAAAAAAAAAAAAAAACTATTGTTTCCGTGCCTTAGATTAAAACAAAAAGGGAAGATACGGCACTCGCGGCTCATAAATGATCCGATTAAATTGTGGTGCATGTCCACAATTCGCTTTAGTCATAATTGGACATTCAAACACGCTGCATGTGCACTCAAAATAACAATATTGCGTATAATCTGTGTTATAAAGATAAAACAATGCCTTCGATTATTTTATAAAGAACAAAAATAGTTCAAAGTCAAATAACAAATGTCTCGGCAAAACTTTTCATTCGCAAACTGTAAAAACATTTTCTTTCTTAAAAATCACGGTTTGTTGGGAATGTTTTGTACGTAATCGCCATTTTGTTATCAAGAAAAGGACAAAATACAGCTCAGCCGTACGGACTCGGAAACGGACTCGCCGTTTCGGTCTCGCTGAGTTGAAGCGTTCTTCTGTGTCGCTCGCTAGATTGAATGTTTATATACGGATGATGATTAATCTCGGGGTGGACCGTCGTGCCGGTTGGTGACCGGGGCGTGGTGTCCCGGCGGCCACTTCCGGGGGGGTGCGGGGGCCCTTCCGTCCGGCGGGTCGGCGTATATCCTCTGCAGGCAATTATTCGGGGAAACATGCCTCCCTAATTTGCCCGGTCTTGTCTCGACAACGTCCACTCGTTTCACGTCTCTTTATCACTTCCATAATGGCAGCTCTCAAAACAAAGTTTGGACGTACAGCGGTGCACACCCCCACGCCTTCAACGCTGTTTGAGGTCGAGTTCTGCAACATACGCGGACTCCACTCTAACCTCAATGCTGTCCACCACCATCTTGAGACAGCACGGCCAGCATTGTTGTTCCTGACGGAGACACAAATACTTCCGCCTACTGACACAGGCTACCTTAATTATCCCGGCTACGTGCTTGAAGAGTCCTTCAAAGCGAAAGCCGGTGTATGCCTGTATGTTCGGGCGGATGTTTGTTGTCGCCGTCTTCGCTGCTTGGAAGATCCCTCCTTCTCCATGTTGGGGGTACACGTCGATTCTGGTCCCCAGGCCAGAGTCTACGTGTGCCTCTACAGATCCCACACTGGCGATGTTGAGACAACTCGACTTTTCGAACATCTTAGTCGGGCAGCAGATGACGCGCAGGAGCAATTTCCCAATGCAGAATTGGTGTTTTTGGGGGACTTTAATGCTCACCACAATTTGTGGTTAAGTTCCTCGAAAACTGACCATGCAGGGATCTCTGCTCACGCGTTCGCTCTCACGCAGGACTTGAAACAACTGGTCGATCAGCCCACCAGGATTCCAGATATTTCAAGTCAAGCGCCTTCATTACTGGACCTTCTGCTCACGACCCATCCACAGGGCTATCAGGTTGTGGTAGGAGCCCCCCTGGGCTCTTCAGATCACTGCCTGATATCTGCCAAAGCGCCACAGGCCAAGCCTCCACGTCCAACGGTGGTAAAACGCCGGATTTGGCATTATGGGTCGGCAGATTGGGACGGTATGCGTGACTACTTTGCGTCCGTCCCTTGGAAGCAGCGCTGCTTCAGTGACAAGGACCTATCAGCCAGCGCCGTTGCTATTACTGAGGAGATTGTAATGTAGTAATCCGCATCATAGGCGATGAGGAGGTGACTAAACACCTTGAGCCTCTTCAATTACGCCGTGACGTGGCGTCACTAAGCGCGTTCTATCGCCTGTACCACGGCGAGTGTTCTGAGGAGTTATTCTCTCTTATTCCACCTTCCCCTTTCCTTCAGAGGACCACGCGCGCTGGCTTACGTTGTCACCGTCTAACTGTGGCTACAATTCCAACGCGTACAAAGAAATTTGGTGACTCATTTCGTTGTCGTACTATCCGTAAATGGAATGCTCTGCCCGCTCACGTGTTCCCTCCCTCTTACAATCTGGGATCCTTTAAAAGAGGCGTGAAGAAGCAACTTGCAGGTCGGCAGGGTGAGGATGGCTGGTGTGGCAGTTAGAACTGCTGTATCAGCTATCTTCGCGTCTGGACTTCACCTTCACTTAACATCAGGTGGGGTGGAGTCATTTGTCGGATCTAACTATAAAAAAAAAAAAAACAGACGTGTGCGAGTGTGAGAGTTGCTTATGTAGTTGAGTCGGATCATATTTTATTTGATGCTAGTAAGAGCGTACCGTATCTTCCTTTTTTGTTTTAATCTAATTTCCGTGCATCTTAGTCCCAATTAGTGACAAATTTGTACGATGTCAAACCGTCATATTTCGTGCTATAGAACGAAGAGATATCTATTTAAATGTTTACTTGAAAATCGCTAAACCACATCAATCATTTAGTAGTATTCAGGATCCCTATTTATATATTCAAATGGTTTTACATGCGGAATCTAACGTATTAATTTCTCTTTTCAGTGTGTCGATGGATATCCCTATTTGAATAGGTGCCCGTCGGGATTATATTTCGACGATATTAGCAAGTTCTGTACGTTCAAAGTCGAGGCGAGATGCGGACCTATCGCTACAAGTAAGTTTATGAATTTAATAATACTTTTTTTTTGACTGGGTGTTTATTAACTTAAGAAACATTTTATCGGAAGCTTTTGTGTTCAGTTTAAGTCCAATAAGCCCGAAACACTCGAATATTTTTTATTTACCCCACGTCTCATCTTCACAAAAATAAGCTATTGGGCATATCAAAGTTGAGTTTCAACGTTTCAACAAAACCTATGTTATGTTAACAATGCCCGAATTTATATAACGAAATAAGTAGCATGAAAGTAGTTTCGTTGACATTATTTTAATCAACAATTTCACGTGTGACGTTCATAGCCACCATTCAAGTAATTTGATCAAACAGGCTGTTTCAAACAGTTAAATAGAAATTCGAAGATTTCCTATTTCTTCATGCCAAATTGGCAACTCATTTCGTTCTAATGTTCCCACACGCATTCATGCCAATTTGACCAAACTGTTTAAATAAGCTTCTTTGATCAAATTACTTAAACATGTATTGCGGCTATACACGTCTTGACGTTTACACGTGAAATTGTTCATTTTTATGTACGGAACTAAATTCATGCTACTAATTGCATAATGTAAATTCGGCTTTAGGCGGAGATAGGTCACAGGGAATCAATAAGATTTATTATGAGGAGCTACGCAGTACGCTATAGATTGGCCCATGGATATAGTACATCAATGTAAATAATATAAAATCTTACTACAACATAATAAAAGTTAAATCATTAAAAGAACTTTTATTTTCTTTTTAAATTATTTGGATTTACTGACAAATATCTATCTACCAAAAATGAATTTAATACATGTGTCTTACGTAAATCTTTATATATATAATTCTTCTGTGAGTGTGTATGTCACTGAACTTCTCTTAAACGACTGGACCGATTTTGATGAAATTTTTTGTGTGTGTTCAAGGGCATCTGAGAATGGTTTAGATTCACAAAGACGTGTAGACAGGACAACGTCTGTCGGGTCCGCTAGTAATTTATAAAATAGATAATGCTCAGGAAATAACCGAAAATAATTGTAACTGGTAATCACAAATTATTTTACAGCAATAAATAAATATAATTAATACTTTAATCTGTTGTTATCTGCGAGGACCTTTCGTTGACTATAAGTAATATTGTAGTTATATATTAGGTATTTTTAAAGTAAGCTCTCTGTCTTGCTAATAAAAAATTAATAAATTATTGTGAGCATTCTTTACATTTTTTTTATTAACTGTTGATTTTGTTTCGGTGAGTCAAAGGTCATACATAGTTAATTTAGATGCTCTCCTTGTACAAAAGTGAAAGGTCAGGTTAGGTCTCTACCCACGTATTTTAAGCTACAATAATATTAAAACATTTCATAAAACTTTTCTTGGTAAATATCACTTATTGAATGAACTTTTTGTAAAAAGAATGCGGTTTAGGCGAGGGACTTATCCACAGATCAGATCCGAGTTGTCTACTTTATAATTTTAACTCGTTTTATTTTTATTGAATTAAATTTTAATATTTTCTTTATTACCTATGTCACAAATGTCAAATACAATTCAAAATACAATTAAATTAAATTAAAATAAACCACCCCGTGGCGCCCATTATGCTCGCAGCATTGAATAAATGAATGATCACTTTATTGTACACCCTTTTGAAAGGTAACATTAAGAAATAGTCTTGATTTATTATTAATTTGTTTTATCTGATTGTTATATTTAATTATCTTCATATTATTTAACATATTAAAATAATCTTTATATCGATGTATAATTTTGATCGATTTCCGAACGGATCGTTCTTAATGTTTTCTTGGTAGTCTATGGCAATTATTCACTTCTAGGCGGTTGTCGAAGAAAAAGTGTGTTCCTTGATATAATTTTGTAAAGGTCTAGAAAATAAAGTTATTGTGAATAGTGTTTAGCGGTCTCATTATTCTGAGTGAATCCTTTCAATCAGAAGTGGCATCTGAACGTGTTTAGAAGAGTGTCGTCCTGATTTCAATGAAGGTTTGCATGGAGACATTACGAGGTCAGTGACTACGTGATTAATATTTCTTTACGCGGAAGAACTAAAAGAAGTTATTAATTAATAAAGTGATAGTATACTTAAAGGAAAATTAAGTACAATTATATTCATATTATGTTGGAAAACGAAACGAAGAAACCGTGAATAACATTTTTTTCATTAGTGTGGGTGTAACGCGACTGAAAGCGATTTGAAGATCAGTGTACCTGTTACGAAAATTAGTTATAATATATCTAATAGATAAGTGGTATTTATAGTTCTAACACTTTGATAGGTATTTTGTTTGATTTATTTGTGTGTTTCTATTTATAAGTGTTTTGTTTTCTGTTTTCTGTGCATTCTTTTCGCCATTTACGCTTCTGTTTATAATTAATAATTTAAATAATTATTTTGTACTACTGTTTTTATTTTTGAAATGGGAAGAAAACGTAGTTCTCGTTCTAAAAAAAGACGTGAATCTAAATACAAGCGTTATAGGAGTTATTCTAGTACTTCAAATAGTTCAGAGAGTTCAGACACTTACCGCAAACGTAGCCATAAGTTGAAAAAAAGACGTGTTCGTTCGCGCTCTGTTTATAAGCATGGTAGCCGTCGTCGAGATGAATCTAAGCGCACAAAGAATCGTTCAAGAGACCGAGAACAGTCTTGTATTACCCCGCCGCTCCCCAATTATGTTCAGACTAATATTAATACTCCAACTACCAATCTAGCGCCCCATTTTACTGACAGCCAAAACACTAGTAGTAGTAGTTCAAATCAAACAACGATTGTGCCGTCTGTCATACCGAGCACTAGTCAAATGTGGCAAAATAACATGTCAAATAACTTTAACGCGGTTCCGGAGTTTGATCCAGCAGACGAGTCTCAAAGTATAGAATGGTGGATTCACAAAGTCTGTGAATGTGCTAAAATATATTGTTGGGACGATAGGCAGACATGTTACTTTGCTTTGTCAAAACTGAGTGGCTTAGCGAAAAAGTGGTATCAGGGATTACCATCATTATTATACTCATGGAATGAGTGGGTACTTAAATTAAAAGCTGCGTTTCCTTCAAATGAGAATTATGGTGATTTGTTAACAAAAATGCTTAAAGTGCGTTGTAAGTTTGGCCAAACTTTTGATTCTTATTACTACGAAAAAATTGCTTTATTAAATAAGTGCGAAATTACGGGTCGAAAAGCAGTTGGTTGTTTGATTCATGGAATAGATGATAAGTTTGTGAGAATGAGTGCAAATTCGTGCATGTTTGATGAACCAGAGAAACTTTTTTTCCTACTTAAGAACTGTTACCAATAGTAACGACAACAATCATATAATTAAATCTAGAACTAATTCTATGAATATTGTTAAAAATTCTAAGTTTAGTACGTCTACTGAGCCTCCAAGGGTGAATGATCATATACGTTGCTTTAATTGTGGTGAAACAGGCCATATTAGTGTAAAGTGTACCAAACCGCTAAAGAAATGTGGATTTTGTCATCGCTTGGGACACCTAACTAAAGATTGTCGTAAAAGATTAAGTAGCTTAGTTATAAATAATGAGGAGGAAAAATCAGAATCTGTGATTGAATCAGACCAATCCAATAAGATTATGTGTATTACTCGTACTGATAAAAACCCAAACAGTAAATATTACAAGACAGTAAAAATTAATAATGTCGAACGATTAGCTTACATAGATTTAGGTAGCGCCTGCTCACTAATACGAGAAACAGACGCAAAAGATATTCTTGTGGACTGGAACCATTCTACCGACTTGCCTAATCTACGCGGTTTCGGAAATTCTACCGTTCAAGCTTTAGGTAATAGGAAAGCTACCATTGAAGTTGGTAATGTAAGCGCAGAAGTAGATCTTATTGTCGTGTCGGATCATTATATGCACGTACCAATTATAGTAGGTCAAACTTTCACCGAAAATCAAAACATAATGATTTATAAAACGGTTAATGAACTGTTATTTGTACCAACCCCTAGCTTTGATTGTTGCGATCAAGTGTCAAAATATAAAATACTAGTCTGTAACAACACAATAATTGAGAGCAACAGTATGTCTCCAATATTAGTCCACACAGTGTCAATATACACTGGAAGCTTATTTATAAGTGGAGGCTTAATTCTAATTTCTAGCAATGAATGTTTTATACTGCCTGGCTTGTATAAGTTTATCGAAGGTGAAGGTTATGTTATGATATTAAACACTAGTAAATCTAATTTGACATTCAAATCGAATCATGTTATTGCTAGAGGTTGTGTTTATGTGGAAGTCAATGATATGTACGTAGGGATAACGGACTTCTCTAGTAACCGTAAGCCGTTACCTTTGAATAATATTACAATAGGAACAGTTATGGATAAGGTAGAGCTTGGAAAATTCCATGAATTATTGCTTAAATTTAGAGATTGTTTTGCGTTAGATTTAGCTGAACTAGGAGAAACTACGCTGACAAAAATGAGCATTAAAGTAACAGATGACACACCTGTTGTATATAATCCATACAGAATGTCAATAAGTGATCGTGAACAATTGTCTGTTATTATTGAAAATTTGTTGAAACATGGTATAATTAGAGAGAGTGCGTCGTCTTATGCTAGTCCCGTCATATTAGTCAACAAAAAGAATGGCGAAAAACGTCTATGTATTGATTATCGTGCGCTCAATCGTAAAACTCTAAAAGACAAATATCCTCTTCCTAGAATTGAAGATCAGCTGGATAATTTAGGAGGCAATAGCTATTTTACGTGTCTGGATCTTGCGTCAGGCTATTACCAGGTACCAATGGCTGAAGAGAGTAAGCACTTCACTGCATTTGTCACGCCGGATGGCCTATTTGAATATAATAGGATGCCCTTTGGCTTGGCAAATGCACCAAGTGTATTCCAGCGTACAATTAACACGATGTTAAAAGGGACTGGAAAGCGTTTGGCCTTGGCTTATATGGATGACCTTTTAATCCCGTCAAAGACTATTGAAGGAGGTATGGAAAAGCTAGA